AATAAATCTGACCTTCCAATTGATATTTTGGCCGATACCAATTTGCAGAAAACATCCATTTAGATTTACAAAGTTTTATTTAACTTGCTTGAGCTATAAGCTCTAAATGCTTTATTTTGGTGTTGTATTTATATCTAAATAGTTTTTTAGTTTTATTTTAACTTTATGCAACTTGGAAAAAAAACTTGACTTTTGCGCAATAGGTCAGTTCTTTTCTGAATGAACAATTGCATGCTTTCATTAATTTAGTTACTGAATATTATGTCATCAATATTAAACAATGGAACAACGTGGACTGTCACAAATCAAATAATTTTCCTTTGTAACTCAGGGTGTTGCAGGTTTATGGTTGTCATTGTCTTTGTATGTACTTTGTGAATTCAGTAGGCAAGTTGTGTGGCTATTAATATGTTTTGCTTAACTTGGAAAATCCTTTTGTTAAACTCAAAATTTTCCATTTGGAGTTTGAATGACATTTATTTCTTTACAGATCAGTTTTCACTATATCAATTTTAGCTTTACATAGTATTTATGTCTTTTTAAGTTTACTGTCCCATTGAAATCTAATTTCTCGATCTGGAAGATTAATTTACAGTTTGTAAAACACATTTTTGTTGAAAAATGGTCATTGCTCTTTGTGTCTTGGCTATAGCCCTACTTTTTGACAGTGAAGCTGAAAATAGCAAGATTGCTGTGATAATTAGATGGGATCACAGCGCAGGCTTTCAGAGCTGTGATTCAACCATCTGTTCTGGGAAAGCGACATGTGCATTTGTAAAGGGGAAAAAAAAAAAAAAAAAAACATTATTTGCATTCTCAAATGATGTGATTTTTAAAAATTGCCAATTGAGGATTACCAGCAGAGCCACATTTGCTGATAAAATTGCCATGAAAATCTGTTCTCTAGTAGTTTAATGGGCTATTATAGTTTTCTGTGGTTAAAGTCTCTAACAAGAGCAATTTTTCATAAAAACTGTAGGCGTCACTGAGAACTAGGTTTTCTGTTTGAGTTGTTAAAGCCTAGATATGCTAGTGCTACTATAGCACCAACTGTTATTGTCCAGAGCAAAGAGCAGTTGACTTCATAGTGTTTGATTGAGACCAAACAGACTTTTTGTGCCACCTATTCAAAATCCAGTGCAATGGAACAAGATGCATTATGAGTTTTGGCCTGCCTAGAGCTTTGCCTTACATTCACAGTTATTTTTTTCAAAGCTAATATTAAAACAGTACTTGCAACATCAAAATTTATGCAGTTCATGAACTAAACAACTAAACAGTTCACATGTTAGGATAAAAAAGGATGCAGGTGGAAGATGCAGGTGGAAAGATTTGCTTAAAGATTTGTCAGTGGAAATGTTCAGTGATAAACCAACATGGCTCTGCTGTAGGGAAGAAATCAGACATGAGCTGTTATCAAATTGAAGTAGGGCTAGCATCAGTTTCTGGTTTTACAAAAAAAGGCTTGTTGTGGCTGATGTCTCGATGAAAATGTGTTCTCTGTACCAAAACATACCCTTCCTGAGGTGTTTGTGTAAGGGACAAATCATTGAGAAAAAAATAATCTATAGTGAGATCTTCTCGAGGTGAGTCATTGAATCCACAATCTACTGTTGCTAAGGCCACCAGTGAGAGAAAATAATCTGCTTCTCTGACAACATATTTTCCCCTTTTGTACCCTGCAGCTTGTGAATCTTTATGTGGTACATGTTTCTGCATTGCATGAACATTTGTAAATTGCATGAACATTTGTAAATTTAAAACGATTTGTTTTGTGAAGGTGCTTATTTTACTCTGCTAATGCCGAACTACAAGTTTTAAGACCAAACCTTATTGTTTTTGATTTCTTATGAAATACTCATAATAGCCAGAGTTATCATTGCAAAAGTATGATTTGAGTATTTTGTAGAATACCATCATAAAAACACTTGACTGTAATTATGTTCAATGTAATCAGTTTGTCAGCAAGTATCCATATCAGCTTCTGTCTCTGAATCTGTCTATAGAGCAGCATAAGTAGAAGAGTGTCTTTTTCTAGAGAGATTTGAAGAGCTATTTATAGATCTCTGCCAAAGCACCAAGCGTGGTGCTGTTGCTGCTGCTTCTCTTCTCTTTACCACTCCTGAGTCTGTTCATCTCCCTCTCCATCTTTATTTGTTCCCCTTTCTTTCATGTTCTTGTGACTCCTATTGCATTTCCGTTTTTAGTGTTTTTGTTTTTCAGTTTGCTTTTCATGCCCATCTTTAGCTTCAGTTATATACATTATTGATCTGAGCAGAAGGGAATTGACAGCATAAAGACTGGCCTGAGACTGGGTATGTGTCACTTAAGTGTCAGTGATCCAATAGTGGAGGGTTCTCACAGAACATATAAAGGGAAAACGGTATACATGGGTTATACCAACATTTTAGTTTTTGCTTGGTATTTGTGTATGCCTTTCTTATAGGTTTTCTATTGCAGCAGGCTTTACTCGCCTACTAATAAGCTCATAATGAAGAAATATATTTTCAATGAATTTTTCTTTCCTTTTTTAGTTTCTCTTTGGTTTTAGAAAAGCAGTACGTTGCATGTCAAAACTGAGGGATAAACCTCATCAGTCTCTGTTCCTTTAACTGTTTATTCTCGCTGGATGACGACTGTTTCTTTTTGCTACTTTCCATATCTAACAGTTCTGTAAAAAGAAGCAACCAGGTTGTTCAAGTGCAGGATGCAGCTGGACTTGTTTTAGGCATTAGATGACATTAGTGCATGGCATCCCCTTTATCCCAGTCATGTGGTCACCCTAAGACAAATTTGTCCAGGGTCATGCTAGGGTTACAAAGTCATCGATTGGTTTGTTGTCTTAATGGATATAAGGTTTGCAAGTTTTAATGAGAGTAGCAATTCATTTTCTCAACTTGTTAATGTTTTGTACAATTCTTAAATTGTGAGTGTGTTGAGGTGACGGCACTCATCACAGTCACCATCGCAGCTAATGCTGCCCTGTTGCACCTAAGTAAAATGTATGATGTAAGCGTAGAAAATGTGCCCTTGATAAGAACAAAAAAGACGATGTAAATTTGAACTTTCATCTTTTTACCCATGGACAACCTTGAAGGTAAATGAAAGGGTTTCCCTCCATGCTTTAGGTGCCGAACAAGAGAAACATTTAGAGCATGTAGGGTGATTTCTTTTCAAATGAACTGCAGATTATTGGCATTGCTCAATATTGTTTGGCCTTAAAGCCAAACGTTAAAGCTTACATGGGCAAAAAACATATTCTGAAAACAATATGTTGCTTCAGTACCTGGGCTTACTATTTATTAATGCAACTCTAAGCTTTCAGTAAATTATGTTGATTGTATGATGTAAGGACAACATGCTATTAACGCATTGATAGTTATCATTGCAATCACTATATTGGTTGCAATTTATACACATTTTCCCAACTCTAATGTTGTTTCTTATTACCACAATGTGCCCACCACTTTTTATGGTTTTATTAATTATTAGTTTCTCTAAAATCTGTGTCCAATGTGGGCATCAAGGGCAGTGAAAATCCACTCAACTGGCTAGATTTATGTTTTTGCATGCTGGACATGAATGCATGTTGCTTGAAATATAATATCCTACCAAATATTGCATCCAGTCAGTCCTTTGACTGATTGGATGCAATCAGTAGACATTGATGCTGTGATGACATTTGTGATTCAATATATTGTGAAGCTGTTAAGTTGTCTACGCTCAACAAAACGGTGACAGCAGTCATCATGTCTTTGGCACTTTTGTCTTATAGTTAAATCCTCCATGAAGATTGATTAAGAGCCCTGTGACATGTTTCTGTAGCTGCTGTGGTAAGTCTGTGGAAGAAATGCATTCAGTGAACTAGATGGCAGTAAGATAAGTTCCTTAGCTCATATTTATCTGACTCTTATACACACTTAATCTGTTGTTTGAGTATTAGAATTAGAAAGGCATATAATAGCTTAGATATGGGGCAGGAAACTTGCAGAATTTTGGCTTCTTATCAGTAAAGAAATGTTTATATGATATTAAAAGTGAAACATTCAAAATGATTCAACAGTAGGTATCTAATCTAAGAAAAATGGTGACTATATAAAATGTTATAGATTTTATAAGATTAGGGACATTGCTAAATGTTTTTTATTTATTTAACTCATATCTTCAGGTTACAAAATACATAATTCCTCCATGAAACATCAGATTGACATCTTTAGAAAATGTTGTTTATGGAGTAGAACAATTTTAAGTGCAGGTTTATAGTGATGTAATTTTTATGTTTTCAAAATGAATAACATTATAGTGTCATATAACGAAACTGCATATTTAGAAGTGACAAACAATGCTGACAGTGTTTTTATTTACTGTTGTATATTCTTAACATTGTATGTAACTTTGATTACTGTTTCTGCCATATTATCTACATGTGGTGTTTTAGTTGTCAGAAACTGGCACGGTCACTGTTATTCAAAGATAATTAGAAGCTGGGCCAAAACCTTAGTTGACCACACATATTTCAGTTGAAGCTTTACCCAATCAGAACACAGCTACAGAGCTTAAGTAACAACCTTACATAAAGTTTGCTGCTCAAATAATTGTTGTCGCTGAACTTTTGATTGCCCCTGTTCCGCAGCATCTTTCAGCTGACGTTTGCAGTTAAGTGACTGTATAGAGAACATGCAAATATGTTGTCTAGTGGGAATAAGGTTTTTCTTCCTAATGAGGTGGTTTAATTTGTTTCTTCCTCAATCTCCTTTTCTTCCCTGCTCATATTGCTCCCCGGGTATATTTTTTATTTTTCATCCATTGCAGCAGTGCTAGAGTTTCACCAGCAGCTGTCAGTACTTGAAGCTTATTCAGTTTGGCCAGACACAGGCTGCAGATGATGACAGAGCTTCCGAAAAATGGAGAGTGATGAATGGCGCCTAGTGTGTCCTCAGACTATGTGACGTATCTTTTTTTTTTTTCTTTTTTCTTTTTTTTTTTTTAACAGAACAAAACCAAACCTTGAAACTGCATCTATTAAATTAACATTTACTGCAATTAGTCATTACAGAGAAGTGCTGTTGAATCAACTGATGTGCTAGCGGATCCAAGCAGCCTTTTTAACAGCTGGGCTTCTTGAATGCCCTGCTTCGGCCGTCATTGCAACTATATTGTTACAGAGGCAAAGAGCAAACAAGATGTGTAGAGGAGAGAGTGAGAATCTGCACGAAAGGGAGGGTTTGAGGAGCAGGGAGCGGTACAAACTGTGCGCATGATAGCATAAGAGTGGTAGGCAAAGAGGGGGCTAGTTTGCGAGCAAGGTTTTTCTCTTCCGTTGTAGTGCCACATTCAAATAAAGGGGGGGAAGCCAGAAGAGACTTTTTTTTTTTGTTGTTGTTGACCATTCTCATAAAACCAATTAAAAAAACAGAGCCGATAGTAGCTCCAGTGAGGAAGGTAACGCACCAGCCGTGAAGATGAAGAAAAGTACAATGAGCTGAAGATAGTGGCAGACCTGGAGTCTCTTGAATCTCTCTTCACTTGCTGCAGAAAATGGAATTCCTTCATTTGTACTACTACATGCTGAGGTAAATATTTTAAAAGCTTGGTCTTGATTGAGTGCTGCATTCACTAATTAATCTTTTTTTTTTACTGTGGTAAAGTTCTTTTAGTTGTGAGACTCCTACCTAAGCATAAGATCAACAAGGCTGTTATCTACATGCAGTTGAGGTTGTGTTGCATCTGTGTAATTGTGAGCTTTATTAAATTAGTGTATGATGTAGTCTTCTTAGCTATTATTTATCATGCATTGGCACTAATGTAATGACTTATAATGGCAAGAACATCTTTTAAATGTTCTTCCTCTTATAAAAAATTTAAAAGATCCCTGCAGCATAGCTAAAGTCCTAGAGTAGCTTGGCAATTGTGGCATGCATCTTAAACATTTCCCCATATATATCTAATTTAATTTAGACAGTTCTGTTCTGGTTTTGTTATTGTTGGTGGTCTTTAATCGATGCTTACTAGTCAAGTTTGTGCTTACTGGTCAGTTTGTGCTTAAATAGATGATATAGATGTACAGACAAACATTGTTTTTTTTTTCTGAAGCATTGATGAGGTAATAAGGAATTCCCTTCCTCTGTCTCTGTGTGGGAGGGTGGGGTTGGTCTGGTGGGGTGGAGAGTCACCAAGAAGTAGGCGCTTCCTTCCTTAAGCAGCAACACTGACAGCTTGAGGAAGGAGGGAAGAAGTGAGGGTTTAAAACCACTTACACAAAACACATTTGACATTTCGTCATGACCTCCTCCCCAATAGATAGATATGTGCTTTACAGTTAAGGGGCATTCAATATATATAGGCTTGTTTTTAAAGCTAACCTTTGACCTTTCCTGTGAGTGAAATTCAGGTTTATCTGAACATTTGCAATTGCGTCTGCACCTTTATTTATGGAACACTGTGTGCAGGAACAGAGAGTAGATAGGAAGGTGAGAGGGAGGCTGCACAAGCGTGAGAAAATGCATAACAACAGATCCTTCTTGAATAAAAAATCTATTGCTATAAATAGCAATCCATTCTAATGGTGTGAACACAGATTCAGGTTTAGAGGGCCAGACTTGTCCTTCCCTTAGCTTGTATGGTGGTTCTGCCGTTTAAAAATCAACACCACTATGCTCTTCATCATTTCTTCCCCTTCTTTTTTTTTTTTTTTTTTTTTTTTGTTCACTTGGCCTAAATCTGTCTTGGATTGTATCTGGCCTGTTTATATAATGAGTGCCTCTATGTGTATGTGCATCTATCTCAGCATTAAAAACAACAAGCATACATCTCCTCTTCATCAGCTGCTGGATCTGTTCAGTTTGCCTTATTTTTACGAAATGCAAAGGATTTAATGATATTCTCGTCAGTTAGAAAAGACAAATGCCCACCAGACATTAGATAAAATAAAAAAAACAAAAAAAACTGCATGGGTGTTAGTTTTCAAGACTGTAAGTTTTTGACTGTTATCTGTTAGTCAAAAACTTACAGAGAGATGGGAGCAAAGAATGTTTCCCAAACTGCACACCATGAACTGATGTGACCAAAGATGAATGTATACCTTTGAGTAAAATTCTGAAATCCTAATCTTTATTATGGGGAAATAGTTTTGTACATGTGATTAATAGTTGCATAGTTTGCAACTTTGTAAACTGATTTCCTATGTTGTGCACCTACAGGAAACTAAGGGTGCGTTCACAACTGCCCTGGTTAGTCCACTTTAATCAAACTCTAGTTTGTTTGTCTAGAAAGTCCGGTTGGTTTGGGAGGTGGGAAGGTGCAGTTGAACTCTAATGCAGAGTTTCAAACTTGAACGCTTGGCACTCAAGAGTTTGGAAGTCTTGAATGCCAAGCTGGCTGTTCCTGCTGGGCATTCTGAGTAAATAAAACCAAAACAAATGTGTGAGTCTTTCACTAGTGGGAGAAATTACTTTTAATTTTTTACCAAAGACGAAAGAGAAATCCTGCAACCATTAATATCTGACTCCACTCCACTTTTCTTTATATTTTATGATGAAGGAAGTTGTGCTCTTGTTTTCTTTTGAGGTTTTTGTCGTTTTCTTCAGTGCTTTTCAGTGCAGCGGCACCACAGGCAAGGGGATGAAATGGTTTTGTTGAACACAGTGCAGAGTGAAAACAAACTGCACCAGCGGGAAATGCAACAAATGTAGTTTTGGTCCCCAATTGAACTGAGTCTACTGGACTATCAGGTGTGAAAACACCTGAAGTTGTCAGTATGCTAGCTGCTGAGGACTGATTTTTTTGTTAGAGGAAGCAAAGAGAGGAGCAAAATAAGAAAAAATAAATCTTATAGCAAACTTTAAAGTGAAGTAAAATTTAACCGTTATTATTGGAGAAACTATATACTCTCTGATACATAAGAGGTTATGAAGGACAGGAGACTCGTGGGGAAGAAAGAAAGATGAAAAATGCTTCAGATTTTAAGTATGACATCTTTAACAGATAAACAGATGGTAGAGCACATTGCTGATGTGACACTGCTGTCAAGTCAGCTATGTGACCCAGAGACTAGCTTCTAATCTGAGCCAGAGCAGCAGTGACATACACACTCACTTTCACACAGATATTATAAGTAGGAAGCAAAGCAACCATGAAATTAACAATGGGGTATTTCAAATCAAAGGACCCGGTGAAAACATGACTAACAGTTTTTGAAGTTTATTAGGGATAGAAAACAAGTTGTAAAATGTCCACTGAAGTTTAGGATTTGCTCTCTTGCAACTTTGTGTACGCTTTATAGTGACAGCCTGACAGTTTGATTGACTAGATCTTTTTCCCAGCATGAGGCTAGCTAGCTGGCAACTCTAGAACCTTGATCACTGCTAAAAGTGTGCATGGTAAATCAGTGCGTTTGTGTTTATCACAAAGGAAAAGTCTCGTAATTTGAGACGAGCCTGTTTTATATACAAAAAAATGAACATGTAGAGTTTGATTCTTACTTTATTAACTGCCAAATTTGAAGGACACTAATCTCTGGTTCTGTACTATAACTTCAGCCATATTAATAGAATGAGTTTTTAGTTTTGCCTGACTAAAGTAGAAAAGCACAAGGCTGAATCTAAAAACCTGAGTTCCATAAGTTTGCCAACCTAGAGAAAAGTGTAAGGAACTGGAAAATCCCTTGTTGTTGTGCTTAGAAAGCATTTGGCAGATTTTGGAAAGATATTAACATTTATAAAAATGTAGTTTCAATGAAATACTGAAAAATAAAAAAAATATTTTTGTGTTGAATATCAGGTACCTGCCATAATCATTTCTACTGTTCAAAATACAGCCCATACCATGTAAGCAAATATGAACGTTTTGAGTTGTTTTTAAAGTTGTTGGAATTCTGCAGTGAATAAAATCTAGTTGCATTGCAGAATATCCTAAATTTTCCTGATTTGCACAGATGGGACTACATCTCTTACAGTGGATCTCAAGTGTACAAACTTCTTTTAAAATGCTTGGTTGTATAAACAAAAATTAGGACCATCTGATTAATCTAAAATAAAGTTCTGTCCCAGTAGGATTTTTCTGACTTTTTGTCATTTGTTTCCTACATCCATGTACTGGTTTAGATTGTGAATACAAAAGATGAGAAGGATCTTGCTGTGCATAAGTCATCATACTAAAATATTAAGATTGAATCCAACGCTTTGAAAAATATTTAAGTCAATAGCTTTTTTGTTACTGTAGCAACTTTTATTTTTTTAAGTCGCTGGGTTCCTTACAATTAAGAGCTAGCATTTGTGGCATCTTTTAGCTTTTTTTTTTTCTGTTCATCTGCCTCATAAGAAAAGTAACTCCAGAAGATTTTTTTTTTCTTGTTGGCTAAGGAGGGTTGCTTTTTTTCTTTCTTTTTTTTTCTTTCTGAATTTACTTGCTATGTTAGCAGATTATAAACCTTCCAGCAGATTATTGTTTTAGTCATGTGAGCAGCTGTGGTGAGGGAAGGAGCTCTGTTGTTATTGCATCACTGTTGCTGGAAGAAGTGTGACAATTTGGGTAGGTGTGAATAGACTTAAATTGATTTTGACGCAATTGAGTATCGATGAATTTTTAATTTTCTGTAGTTTTTTTACATTGAAATAATTATTTTTTTTTTCTGACAAGAAAATAATAGGCATAATTTACATCACAGCATTTGTCCTCAAATATTGAAGTAAAAACTGCACGCCTCTTTAAAATTAAGTAGAAGAAAAGACAAGCAGGTACTTGTTTGCATCCTACATGTAAAGACATCCAGACCCTAATAAAATCTCCCTAAAGGCAAATGTATTTTACTCTGATGAAACAAAGTTTAAAGTTCTGTGATGTCATCTAAAAAGCGCTTGCCATCTCCCAAGAACACCCTGTCCATCTTGAAACATGGTGGCGGCACTTAGCCCTGGGGTTCATTTTCTTCAAAGAAAATTAGAATGTGAACAGTTTGAAAAACCAATTGGTTTTGAACTACAGCTAGTTGAATACAGGCTAGAAAGATGAATAATGAGTTTGTTTTTCAACATTGCATTGAGTCCAAGGATATATCCTTTCTCTTTCTTACTATTTATTCAATGTCACATGCTGTTCTTATTTTTTTTCTTTAATTATGTAAAGCACCTTGAAATGCCTTCCTGCTGAAATGTGCTGTACAAATAAAATTTGGTTGATTGATTGATTGATCCTAGTTCACATAAGAATGAGGTTATTAGAGGGAAATCAAAGTTCTGGAAAAACGTAGCCAGGGTCTCAAACCTGGTACTTCAGCGAGGAGTTGTACATGTTTGACAGTTAACTATTTGACTCGAACATTAAGATGAGTAACCGCTAACTTACCCATGAATACAAGATAAGCTTTGCATGTGAAGCTACCTACTATCTTTCCCATTGAAAAAAATTTTAGGTTGTTTAATAAATCTGGATGTAATAAAGCAATATTAATACTAGCTGCAATATCAATGTCAGTAATGATGAAAGTTGGACATGAAAGTTATCAAAACATGTTGAAATAAATAAAAAGACATAAGTATAATCAACAAGGGTGTTGCTGTAATGAATTATTGTCACA